AGGTGATTTCCACTAATTAAGAGTTTTAATCACTAAGTCAAAACGTAAGGATCTTTTGAAAGAAATGGTTTTGCCCTTGATAATTAGTTATATTTAATTATAACCGATTATCTTCACTCTATAACCATTATACACAAAATTCTGATCAATTATAATTTTCTTATTTTTTGCATGTAAGAAAACTTTCTTGGACCAAGTCGGCTTCAAAAGTGTGTTCACTTCCCCAAAAATGCCACGTGAGGGGTAATCAAACGAACCTTAGGGTATGACCATGGTGTTTGCGAGTGAGACCCGCCACTCATAGACAAAAAAAGATAAGAATTAATGAGGGCTTGCTTTATTAATGATTAAATCCCTGAACTTACAAGATTATAACACTTAAGTCTTTTAAATTTAAAATGTGTTATTTAAACTCTTAAAATCAAAAAGCAATATAAGTGTGTCAATTTTGTATTCTTTTCAACAAAAAGTGATTTAGTGAATGACACATAGCATTTCTTTCGCATAATTTTGAATTATCATGAGTTTAAGTCTTTAAAATTTAAATTTGTCAATATTGTAATTCAATCAAAACTTTATTTTTGCCTCTTACTAATAGCAATCTAGTTAAAAGTAAAATAAATATTGAAAAACCCATACTATAATCCTTCTTTCTCTAGAAAGTCCTTTTACCACATAGATTGTGTAGTTCACATAGAAAATCTTCTCCTCTAAAAAATCAAGCATCCCCTTTTCTTCTCCCTTCTCAACTCATGGACAACAGCCTCTCTTTGTCTCTTCTCTTTCATTCTTCGGAAAAGCAGAAAGGGCACCATGCCAATTGGGGAAGTAGCACCCCTGTAAGTGCTGATTGACAGCTATGGGCGAAGATTCAAGTACTTAATTTAGAATAATTAAAGTTCATACCACCTATTCAAAATTTAATAAAAGTTCGCGTCTTTTTTTTTGGTTTTGCCAATTAGTTTAAACTTTGAAAATAAATAAATAAATAAATAAATAAAAGCCCAAAACGTTCGAAAAACCGGCGCTAACTCATGGCGCCAAACCAATTCTTTCGCGCCACAATCACCCGCCGAGCCGCCTCTCTCTATAAAATGAACCCCAAATCCCTAATTCATTTCAACCCTTCCTCAGTAATCGACACAAAAATCTCGAAATCCCTCCTTCCATTCTTCAAAATTACGTCGACGATCAAGCATCCGACCAGAAACCCAGCCATGGTAGTCCCTCTCGGCCCTGGCAAGTTCTACGGCGGTAGCCTTCCTCGGCCGCGCTTCTACTCCGATACCAAGTTCAACCCAGATCGCGTAGATCCGCCACTGCCCGTGATGGAGCCGCTACTGTCCTGGGCTAATGAAGCCCACTGGTCAATGGGGGGTCTCAGCTTCAAGCGTCTCCGCCTCCAAGGCCGGATCGAAGGGAATGTGAACAAGCTTCGTCGACAGATTGAGAAGCTTCAGAAGAACAGCCCGGCTAAAGATTCTACCGTTGATCGCCCCGGTAGCACAAGCAAGAGGGCTGCTTCGGTATCTCCGCCTCCTGCTCCTGCGGCAGTGAAGAGGAGGAGATACTTGGCCTTGTCTGATTCTGATTCTGATTCTGATTCTGAGGATAATGAGAGAAGCGATGGTGAATTTATGCCGAAAAAAGAAAAGATGGCTTTCAGAAGAGGTGCAGTGAGGAAGTTGGGGGATGATTTCGAGAGGGTTGCAAGGGAGAGTAGTAGCGCAGCGAAAGGGAAGAGCAATAATGGGATTGGTCTCAATGTGATGAAGATTGTCAATGAGATCAATGATGGGGTGGCGTTTGAAGGGGAGAAGACGAGCAAGAAGGCCCTGAAGAACGGCAGCGGTGTAGTGCAGAGTGGGACTAGGACTTCTCCAAGACTGGCTGGTGGGACTAGAACTTCTCCAAGACTGGCAAATCGCCGGATGAACTAGATCATTATAATAGTAGTAGTAGCAGTAGTCATTGTTAAGTTATATCATTGCTATGAGAGAGTTGCAAATGGGATTAGAATAGATATAGGTTTTCGCTTTTCCTTTTAAGAGTTCCTAAAAAGCTTGAATGCTTAGAGTTCTGCTGAATTGGCGTCGGCTTGTAAATTGTTAATGCTTCAATACTAGTGAACAATTCTCGCTTTTATGTCATGTCTGCATTTTGTTGTATCTTTATTCTTAAGTTCATGGTTTGGTTGTTTTGATGCTCAAAAGTAGCACCAACCCTATCATCATGGCTAAATAAACAAAATCAGCAAATATGCTTATTCATGATGAAACATAAAAGTTTGGAAAGCCTTAGCTTCTAATCTTTAGAGTTTGAAACTCGTTAGAAGTCTTTAAATTTGGGTTTTGGATTCAAATTTCTCTACTGATATTCCCTAGAAGAGTTGTTCCAGGTAGGAAAGTTATCAAACGGTGGTAAACTTGTAATGTAACCCCTATAAATGCACATTGCTTAACCGTGTAAACTAGACTTATATAGAATCTTGTATTTATATAAAAGTGGGAAGAATTGGTGAAAAATCAGTGAAGTTTAACCAGTGAAGTAGCACGTATCACAAACTACAACCGAAGCAAACCCAGCATACGACCATAAGAGTAGTTGGATTCACAATCTGTGTGAGCACAGTTCTCTCATGTTTTCACTTTGTTCAGTCAGACCCTTGATTCTAGCCAACCTGCATGATTGTTCTAGCATCATTTTGTAAATTGATCGCCTTCTTGATGGTACAATCACAAATTCATCATTGTACTCTTCCATTCCTTCAACTAAGAACTGCCAGATTAAAGCACCTGCCCCAGCTCGGTTTCTCTTTGCAGATTTGTATATGATGTCTAAAATAGTTTGGTAAAGCCTATTTCGTTGGGATAGTTCAAAGTCCTTGTTCTCATCTGAGAGTCCATATTCTGTGAACATCACAGGCTTTTTCAACTCCGTGTCACCATCTTCAATGTGAGATAGCATCCACTTGGAGACGTACTTCAGTTTGTCTTCAAATTCTTGATCATGAAACCTACAAAACATAAAGGGTGGATTAAATTCAGGTCAGAGTTCTAATGAAGAAAGTGGAGAATCTATTATCGAACTTGGACATAAATAGTCAATAACTTGCATCAGAATACAGCAAAGGGAATTGGAAAACTTCACAGGTTTTTCATCATTTAGAAGTAGCCAACGCTTGAAAATTCAAATTTCAAGTAAAACTCACAGGCATCAGGCTTACTTTTTGATGATAAAAACAGATTCTAAATTTATTTTTCTCCACTTATTTGAATGAAGTAATTTCATGCATGGTTGATAAGGCTTACCAGTGATCGGGATAGATATGAACAGAGGCAAAATCTATGTTTGTGATCTTGGAATTGCGGACAAAGTCAGATCCAAGGGTTGATGCCCATGCTTCTGGATTTATGGTTAATTTCTTGGGACTTTTGGGACCATAGAATCCTTCAAGACCAACAGTCAGAAGATGGTTCTTGTCGATTGATTTCACAAAAGCTGACATTTCTTCTATCCAATCCTGCAATGCCATGACAAACAATTAATTCATACTCAGATATAAATCAACATACCAATAAGAGAACATAAACATAATATCTCTCTCTCACACACACTTCAATGAGTTTGGAATATAGATTTTGTTATCTCTATTATTTTGGTGAGGATTTATACTGTTATCTGAAAATACCTAATTGTAATTAAGTAATCTGAAGCTCTGCCACATTACAGAGTTTAACATTGAACAATAGTTGGTTTGACAAAGCTCTGCCACATTACAGAGTTTAACATTGAACAATAATTGGTTTGACAAATGTCAATCTGGAGTTTAGCTCTACTTTGATTTGCTCATATGCATACGCTCAAACAAAAGGTCATTGGTTAGTCAAGATAATAGCCCTACTAAAACTCAGAGTTTAAAAAGAAAGGTAACCTATTTCAGGGTCAAAAACAATAGTCCTTCAGAGATTTCAGAAAACTGCAGAAATTAAATGGTCAATCTTTAAGAGTTGAAGATTGGCATCAGTTATATTGGAATGATTTGTAAAGAGTTTATAACTCACTTGAAGAGTATCACCAGAAGGATCAGACATGCAACGGGGTTCATTCATTAGCTCCCATCCAAAGATCGTGGGGTCATTCCGATATTCAATTCCCGTGATGGTATTCTTTCTTGTCAGGACAGCCTGGGAAAAGGAAATAGTTCAGGGTAAAAACAACTCCGTAACAGCATCAATAGAAATCTCATGATATTGCAGATGTAGATTCAGCAATTTACTGCAAGGAAGAAATTTGACTACAACTTGTTATTTCAACCCAAACATTTGGGATGATCTTCTGTCAATTGTAATTGTCAATATATAAATTGATGCACTTCCAAAGTTTCAACTAATACCAATATTTTTTAAAATGTCCTTCATATATTAGTAGAAAGACTATCCTCAGGGAACAGGTTGCCTTTATCTCATAATATGATAGAAATGGCCAACCACACTACATTGCAAGGAGAACAATGGATGTCCTTTTAATTGATATTGAAAAAGTTAACAAAGTTAATCTTAATTAATTCCCTCACTTTATCTTCTAAAGTCATCTACCTTTATTCTTCTTGTGGAATTATTCAGGAGATTTTGTTTTTGTCAGGATCCTTGATCTGCCTTTCTTCAGAACTTCAAATTTGTTTTCCTTCTTACTTTCTAAGTTCATATTTTCCTGCATTAGGATTTCCTGAATCCTGATCTTTCTGCAGTGCAATAAATTCATGATTTTCTATCATTTATTTATGTAGTTAAAATCTCATATTTCATAGAACCTATATGACCATGCCAAAAAAGAAACTACCACTCTCCTTCACTCTGTCTTTCAGTGAACAAGGAAAGGTAGAGGAGAATACTAAACTTAGTGTTGCAAAAAGTGGTAGGCAATGGTGGGCATTGAGCCACTGTCTAGTGTCCTAGAGGCCTTTTTATTTTTTATAATTGCCAAAAAATCACAAAAAAAAATTAAAAATGTCAATATTGAGTCTGAAAATACATCTTAGCATTTAAAAGTGTTGCAACTGAGCTCAAGAATTGGGTATTAAATTTAAAGCATGTCATACTGTTTAAAAGTGCTGCAAAAAACCCTAGGCACTGTGGGTAGGCACTAGCTGCCTAGGCAAGGCATCCCTACTGCCTAGCACCCCAGGCGTCAGGTACGCTTTTTGCAACAGTGACTAAACTAAACCTGTACCTTTCCTACATGGCTCTATGTCTAATGGAGCAGAACAGGCTTTTTAATAAGACATTCATCCCTTAAACTCTAACTTGCTCACCATCCTTCAACTATAATATTCAGCAACAAAACTTCAATTGGTTGTACTAAAAATCTAAGAAGAGGCTACATTGCATTTAAATGATACTTTAAGGGACCCTTTTTTTGAAAAATAGGTTACAGCAGAACTGGACCTAAGATATATTTCTGAACCGTAAAAATAAGATATTTTATTGGAAATGCTAAGGCACTTTTTTCACCTTTTTCGACTACATGTCAAGATAAGGATGAGCAAGAACAAAATCATGCTGTGGTTACCAGTCTATATTGAAAGAGAAATAAAAAATGAGAAAATTGAAAATTCTAACAATTAGTGTTTAATTTAAATCAGAAAGCAACTCACAGGAAATTTTGAGAGAAACACAAAGGTTATGTGAAGACCTCACTAAAAAATCAGGATTTCAACAGAACAGCATAACATTGAAAAATCAGGCACTCCTATAGTATAATTTTAGTAGGCTCTATGTAGTACCGGGGGGG